TGCTGTGGCGTACACATTTCCACTGGTTTGAACGGAAGAGAACAAGAAAAAAAGTGATGTCGCAAGACATGTAAACATAGAGAACAATATTGAATAAACAATGTGTATAATTAAATATGGATAAACCGAATACATAAAATTATGAAAGAAATGTACAAAAAAGATAAAAAAGACTACTGTAAATGAAACTTTTAATACGTACACCGACTAATACGCTAATTCTCTTATTTTCAAAATCGAAAATTGTGCTATTGTCTCAACCTCGGTTGTTCTTTTAAATTATGCTCATTCAATTCGTTCTTTCCATCATTTATTAATTAATAACAGATCCAAAACTGCTCCAGAGGTATAGGATAAACGTCAGCCTCAAATTGATGGCAAATTATAAGCATTTTTGAATTGATGATATTCGTTTTCAGGCATCTGAACTAATACTGGATGCATGGATTTGTTTAGAAAATGTATTAGTTGAAGTATATTTTCTTTATCCATAGCGGTACAACCATCGGTAGGCTCATTATTTGCTGCCCGGATATGCATAAAAATACAAGATCCTGCTCCTGGGACAATGGGATCAGTGTTATAATCCACAAAAATGCCGTATTTGTACAACTCATCACCCCGACACATCTCTTCAGCTGAATTCCAGTCCTTCGCGATCTTAGTCATATCGACAATTTGATTGTAGTGCGGTGAATTTTTGTCGTCAATACACAAAATTGATTTGATCACTTTCACATAATTCATTTGAGTGAATGTCAAGTCTTCGTAGCCGAATAAGTCACCTAGTTTAAAAATTCCTGCTGGAGATTTTCCATCACCTTCTCTTTTCATTTCACCTATATTCCATCGATCGCTGTGCAAACCTTTTCCCCACGCTAACCCGTTTCTTCCTACTGTAACAGAAATATTTTCCATCACCGGTTCCCAACTATTGTCTATGAATTCAAAAACATTCATTTTTCCTTGAACATTCGTCCAATTGTTGGTAGTTACAACTACCAGCTGCTTCGTACCAATATCTTTGTCAAGACCTATCTTCTGCATTTAAGAAAAAATGAGAAAATACAAAATCTGTCTTATTCTTTTCAACATACTTGTTTTTTGTTCTACTTTCTAACTATAAATCTGAGTGATACGCTTATCAATATCTATTCTTTGAATTTGGCTTACATTTTTAAAAAAAGTAAAAAAGAAGAAAAGTAATTTTCTTCTTTCTTTGTATTCTCCTGTGCGTTGTTCTTCTATATAACCTTTCTCTTTTTCAGTTTGTAAATACTGCGTTCCTTTCATCTGTAGCAATTTTAATTTTATCTTCATATCTCGCAAGAAAGCTGGCAGTTCTCCTTATATTGTTTATTTTGAGTAAATGCCATTATTCTTTTTCATAGGTGCCTTACTTAGCATGACTTTTAAGTCTTTAATTGTGTTTACGTGCACTAGCCCTGTTTATCTATCACAAATTCCCAAAACAGAGGCCTAGATATATGATCTTATAGAGTAAACATTTCTTTTTCAAATGAGCCATGAATAAATCATAGGAGTTTGCTAGTTTTTTTTCAGGAAATCGAAAAATCGAAAAATTTGTGAAACTTCGCGGTTTTTGGTAACAAGAGTGATCTGCATCTTCAACTGTCAACGGTAACTCATCAGATGACGTTCTAACTCGCAGCTGCATCTCAACAGTTGACATTCTGAACTACCAACAGTATTCCTATCAATCGAAATCTGTTGAACTGGATCCTTAATAGTGATACCTTCATTTTTTCAGAGAAAGAGTGATTTGGGTGAAGATCTCTTGTCTACCAAAAATGTTTAAGAAATATGTTTTCCGTTTTTTGTCTGCTTTCTTCAATTATGTTTCCTCGTGAGAATCTGTTTAAGATGATTAGTGGTGTGTCTCTCTACATATACCGAACTCTAATATAACGTTAGCTAACGGCATAATATTTTACGTTGACAGTTTCGAACATCAGCGGCAAAACCGTCGCTATTTCCGTTGAAATGTTTGTCAAATCAGCGTGAACGGCTGCAGCCCTATACCTGTGCCAAGGTAAAGAAATCAAATTTTTCCATTATCGTGGTAATGGTGATGGTAATGGCAATGGTAATGGTAAAAAGAATTTCTGTCGATGATAATGGTATGGTAACTGGTAACTAAAAGTCATGGTAACATGACTCTACTGTCGAGATGTACTTTGAGTGATGCGAATTATTTCTGGAAATACACCTCGAAACATTTTATTGCCACCGATGGAAGCACTACTAAGTTCGACAACCCACTTCTTACAATACCGGTGTACAGCATCGTTGTGCACTCTTTCGCAAAATATGGAACTTAAACACAGACCAGCAACCTCTGTGAGCTGTTACAGGGACGTAGAGGCGTAGAGTAAAGCATGAGATTTTTACCGTTGATTTTGACACAGATTTGTACATCTAAAAGATAAACGAATCGGGATAACGAAGGAGCAGACGGATTTCGGGTAACAAGTCACCAAAACGGGTAACATAATAAATGAAGGAACGACGATAAAGTTTACAAAAATTGTAAAAAGTTGCAAAAACGTGTATATATTTATCGGCTAAAACTCGAGCCCGTTTACAATTTTTTCGCAAGCCGAAGTTTGTTAAACATAAATTTCGATAAAACTGAAAACTAGTATACATAATCCTTATTTCGACAGAAGCTACATTATCGGGAAAGGAAGAAAATTTCGACATAAACTTAATCCAATAACTAGAAAAACGATCGGTAAGAGTTCGCTCTCCCGTCAGCGAAAAAAATAAACGATAATCCATATGTGAACAACCATAAACGCGCTGCAAATAGAAAGGTATAACGCAGAGTTTCTGTCGTTGTACATCGTAAAGTAGAAAAAAAGCGGAGCTAGCCATATAAAAAACGGATGGACAATTGCAAAAAATGCTCGACGACGAAGTTTAATTGATAACATTCCAGATCGACAAAAAAGATGAGAAACAATTCGAAAAGAACTAGCAATTAACCGACATTGCGAATCGATCATGTTTCCAAAGACAACTGTCGTAGCCACTATATACCCGAGGTACCGAAATGATTTAACGAAACAAAGCTTTTGGTTATTATAAAACAGCTCAAATAGCGAGTACTTCGGTTTAGTATTGATCAGGAATACGCCCGCAAAAGTTCACGTTTCGTTCCTTGAACGTGAACGCTAAAGCACTGATGGACGTGAGCGTTTCTTATACGAACGGTGTTCATATCGTCTGAAGTAAATATAAACTTCTGTTCTAGTACTATAGTAAGAACATATATATTTCTGCTTGGTCTTAACTGATCAACAGAAACTCTAGTAAAGGATCAGATGGTCTGCTCAGGGCAGTGACCAGATTATTGCAATGTAAAAATGATACCCCTTCGTTCTCTGATCAAGACATTGATTCTTTCAAGAACAGATCCCAGATTTCCTGACTAGAAGACTAGTTTTTCCGGCACTGGAACCGGAGTTCCTTGGTCAAAACGATTACAGTTACTACATACGTTTTCCTTTGTTATCCTAATTCATTTGGGACAAACGAGATTTTTCACTAAATACAACTGGTAATGGAGAAAGGTTAACGTTTTGCAATAATATTTGTTCCACACAGATCAACACCGTTCATATAAAGTCCATTGATGTGAATTACTCCACTTTATATGTCATTCGATAGAGAATTTCACTAGCTTCAAAGTGAACTATGAATACGTCTTTCAAAAATATGCCCTCATTGGTCAATAGTTGAAATACTTGGTCGATATAATGATTTTCACGTATCTTAGTGCTTTGAACACTGTGTTAGTCGTTTTTCTACCATAATGAAAAAGTATGTATTGTTCCAAAACATACCATTGGATAGCCCTTGAAATTCTCTACTACATTTTTGTAACTTTCACGCCTTTTGTAGCTAATGGTAAATCGATTGCAGTTACGTGAAATAGGACTATAGAATGCCGAGAGATGTCTTATTTTGTTCAGAATTCTTCGCTCTATCAGACTATATGGTTTGCAAAATTTTCTGACTAAAACCTAAGGACTCGGTTTTCCCGCGCTCAGGTTTTCTAGAAGCTCTATTATTAACTTTTCTCATGAAAGGGCGATATGCACCTCAGCTGATAGAAAAGTCATCGGGCTATTCAAAACATTATTCAAGCTGGTTCCAGCTTTTACTAAAAGGTCAAAAACAAGAGAGTTCTTGTAATTATGACACGCTGTACTGCTTAGATAACACCGAAAAGCTTCTTTTCCATATCTTTAATGACTGGCCCCACCTTTCTGGATATTGTGACCAGCCCACTCTCTAGAGACTTTCAAGGACTATCAAATGGTATGTTTTGGAACAATACATACTTTTTCATTATGGTAGAAAACGACTAACACAGCGTTCAAAGCACTAAGATACGTGAAAATCATTGTATCGGCCAAGTATTTCAACTATTGACCAATGGGGGCATATTTTTGAAAGACG